CCAAAGGCAGACACTCAACCACTGAGCCATCCAGGTGTCCCATGATGTTCAGCTCTTGTGATGGGGTCAGGCTATCCACAAACCCCCGTGGTAATGGAGCGAAGACAATTGGACACAGCCTTTGGAATAATGAAACTTGCTTCTACAGGCATAGTGAAGTGGAAAGGAAATGTTTCAAAATGAGTCATGGTGTGTAACTGGCAGGTCTACACAGGAAGAACGGTTGGTGCAAGTCAGAGGAGAGTCAGAAATGAGGCTATATCTTTCATTCTATAGTTCCATGTTATCGGTGGAAACTCACCTGGGTTGAGGGAGACAAGATATGCCTGGAAAGTTTCAATGTCTAGATGTGACACTCAGAGGTGTTCAGTTTTAGTCTTCCTAACAATTGTATGTAATTTATGATTACTCACTGATCAATACCTTTCCTACAGACACTACTAGTCTGTGGTAGATTCATTTCATTGGCTGCTCCCAGAAGGCATAAAGTCCTCCTCGTGGAAACTTCTATAAAAATATCAGCCTTGGGGCACCTGGGTGGCTCAAATTGGTTAAGCATCTAACTTTTGATTTTGGCTCAGGTCATGATCTCAGGGTCCTGGGATGGAGCCCCATGTCAGGCTTCACACTCAGAGGGGAGTCTGCTTGTCCCTCTCTCTCCCTCTCCTTCTGCACCCCCACTCCCTGCTCTCTCTCAAATAAATAAATTAAAAATCTTTTCTTTTTTTAATCAGGTTTTTCTCTGAAGCTCGGTGGATGTCACATTGGACCACTTCTCTGATGGGGAGAGGAGACAACAACAAAGGACTTATTTTTGCCTATGTAATTAGCTTCTCAACTGTGACTCAGTATCAGCTCTGGGCTAACAAGGCAATGCAGATCCTAATTATTAGCACCCCCCCAGCCCCTGCCAATGGCTCATGGAAACCTCAGAGGGAGGATATAGCCTTTGGTATAAAACCCACCAAAGCCAGGGACATTCATCTTTAAACCCAACTGGATGACATTAATTATTACCTAGCTTGGTCTGTAGAACATCTAAATCTTGACTTGGATCCAAATGAAAAGGAAACATCTCAGTCTCTCATTATGTAAGAAGCTGATACGAGATGGAGGGCAAGAGGGAGAGAACGTAAAACAACAAGGGAAACAGACTTCACAAAGGAGCAACCAGTTCAATATTTGGAGACCGTAATCTCTTCACTGTTTAGGGAAATGTCCCCCTGCCTGGTGGCCTTGGGCCAGCCTGGGTGTGGGACCAGGTGTCCTCTTACCTGCCCTTTATGGTGGCTGAGACAGAGGAGCTCCAGAGTCATCCTTTTGTTTTTTGTTGGATAATGGCCATTTGTGCCCATCTGTTCCCAATGAATAGCCAGGGGCAAGGCGTGGACTATATCAGGGGGCCCTTGGAGGGTCATGCCAAGCCAGTTAGGGTAGTGGTGGGTCAGGATGGTCAGGGGGAAGGGTTTTGGTCTTTGGGGCATTGGATTGCTCTTTCCCTTGGGAACACCTGGACTTGCTTTACAGGTGCTAGGAAGAACACTGTGCTGTAAGTCTTGGGAGAGTCCATTCCTAAATTTATAAAACTTATATGAGTTATAACTAAAGAAAATAAAAGCCTAAGCTATTTCTTCAGCTTTTGTATTTTGCCCTATGTCATCAGAATTTGTATGTGCTTTTGAGTTTAGAATATTTCTGCTATGACTAGAGGAAGCCCATCTTTCAATGACCCAAATAAGAAAGGAAACATCGTTTTGGATTAGTGGATGTCCTTTCTGTCAATTGGCCAAGGTTTAAGTGACAGAAGCAGGTTTAGGAGAAAAGTATGATAAGCTCATGTTTATGGAACCTGCCAGCAAGAGCCTCTCTTTTTGTCTACTGCTTGCACACAGGAAACCGAGCCACAGAAGAGACTCATCTGCAAAGAGCTGAGAACAGGTGTGAGCAAAATCATGTGAAGAAAGTAAAGAGATTGTTGAACATCCCTTCTGATAATATCTGCCTCTGACAGTTCCGAATGGTTCGCTCACCACCTCTACAAACATTCTCTTTATTCTCTCAGCGCCTGGCAAGGAGAAGGGATTCTCTTCTACTCTGGGGCCAAGAATTCCCCTGAAACAGGAAGTGGCCCCAGAGAACTGAAACCAGAAACAGGTGTGTGGTTGCCTCTGAGGAGTGGAACAGGGGTGGGAGAGGTGGAGCAGGTTCTTCATTATAAATCCTTCTTCTTTTTCTTCTTCCTCCCCCTCTTCCTCCTCCTCTTCTCCTTCTCCTTCTTCAAGATTTTATGTATTTATTCATGAGAGACACAGAGAGTGGAGACATAGGTAGAGGGAGAAGCAGGCTCCTCGCAGGGAGCCCGATTCGGGACTCAATCCCAGGACCCAGGATCACAACCTGAGCCTAAGGCAGACGCTCAACCACTGAGCCACCCAGATACCCCATTATAAATCCTTTTAAGTGCTATTTTGTTTCGATTGGAAAGGAGATATACACACACATACACATATCCACACACACACGCATATATACATATACACACTGATATGAGAAAGCAGATAGATGAGATAGATATGGTCCTCACCTCTGCCTTGGACCCAGTGCCCCACCCCTATCCCAGCTTAGTCCTGGGTCTCTCTCCACCAACCCTGTGGGTGGGACAGGCCTCAGAGACCATCTCCTCAGGAAACAGGCACACAGAGGGTCAGGGGATAGCTGAGGTCACTCAGCTAGATGGCATACAGCCAGGATCCCCAAGGTCCTTCCACTCCAGGTCTTTCTCTGGGGTGGAGGAGAGGGGTGGGGGTGCTCATCCCAATCTATCCAGCCTCCCAACCACCATTCTGTGGCTCTCAGTCAAATTCCACCAAGCATTTGATTTGGCTTCTGGGATCCAGGATCACTTGAGGGATCTGGGGTCTCTCCTTGAGGGGAGCAGCAGGGGAGAAACTCAGAGGAGAGCAGTATCAAGATATCCCCAAGATGGGCCCTATGACAGTGGTGACACCTGCCAGCCTGGCCGTGCCATGCTCTCTGCCAAAAACTTCACCTGCTTTAGTTCATTGAATCCCTCACAAATATTTATTGACGGGGTAGATACTATTATCTACCTTGTCAACTTGAAAGAAACAAGTTAACTTGCAGAGTCAGAACTGAATCTAGACCTTTAAGCTCTAGCTCAGTGTTTAAACCATGACATGCAGCCTATGAAACCCGTTTCTTAGATCAGGGCACACAAAAACATCAAGGGCTTCCGGTGCAACATAGGGAATGTTCTGAAGCAAACTTGGCTGCTGCTGGGTGTGCTGTTTCCTCCCCCCCTTCCCTCTTGGCACCAAAGAAACCAAGAGAGGAGGGCACAGGCAAGGAGGGAGGGGAAAGGGGGAGGCAGAGGGGGAGGGGAAGAGACTAGGAGCGGGCAAAAGCAGAGAAGCAGGTGCAACCTCACTGCAGCTTGACAAGGCCCTCTGCCAGGACGGCTCCAAGCCCACCCCTGGGTGGAGGAGGGGGCTGCCCACAGAGGTGGGCCATCCCTTAGGATAAGCCAGGTGACACCACAGACCGACGTTGAGTTTACGATCAAGGAAGCACAGGGTCCTGGCAGAGTGAGCGGTGCAGGGTGCGGATCTCTGCCCCATTTTGCAAAAAAGCTGGTGTAGCATGAGCCTCCTTTGTAAAATGTGTAACATAAAGGAAAAGTCTGTGGAACAGTCTGCAAACTCAGTGCTTGACTCCCGGGGGCGCTGTCCAGAGGGTTTTTTTTTTAAAGATTTATTTATTTATTTATTTTTTATTTATGATAGACATAGAAAGAGAGGCAGAGACACAGGCAGAGGGAGAAGCAGGCTCCATGCCAGGAGCCTGATGCAGGACTTGATCCCGGGACTCCAGGATTGCACCCTGGGCCAAAGGCAGGTGGGAAACCACTGAGCCACCCAGGGATCCCCCAGAGGGATTTTTAACTCGCAGTGTTCTGTGTATCTGTACACAATGTTTCAGGAAGCAGGTGTAAGGCTTTCATAATCAGAGGGATGGACAAAAAAAGTTTTCAAGGGCGAAGGGCACCCCCACTCTCCATCCATCAACCTCTCCAAACTTCTAGAACAACCAGTGTACGCAGGTAATCCCACAGCCTGTGTTCCCAAGAAATGTTTATGCATCATTCGGGGTTTTGTCCTGAGCGCGTGTGATTAATTATTAAAGAGTTGTCGTCCACCCTGTCAGAATAGTTTAATGTTTAGTTGGAGGACTGAAACTCAAGTATTTGTCCCTTGACTTTGCACACTGTTGCTTAGGTGTCAGTTAAAAAAATAATAAAAAAAAACTATTACACGGTATGTTAACTAAGTGGAATTTAAACAAAACCTTGAAATAAAAAGATAAATGGAAGAAAGAAAAAAGAAAAGAAAGGCAGGAAGGAAGGGAGGGAGGGAGGAAAAAAAAACTATTACACGGTATGTTAACTAAGTGGAATTTAAACAAAACCTTGAAATAAAAAGATAAATGGAAGAAAGAAAAAAGAAAAGAAAGGCAGGAAGGAAGGGAGGGAGGGAGGCAGACCTAGTGATTTTATTCTGTTGTTCTGACTTTATTGAGGCTTAGACTTGAAAGGCCGTGGCGGTTCATGACAGCTACTCTGCTTTCCTTACCTTCCAGCACGGGGAAAACAGGCTGCTGTCATAATCACTGATTCCATGAGGCAGGGAGGCTGGTAAGATGCAAAATGATCCTACAGCCTGGGGAGCCTCCAGGGCGAGGCCGGGGTGGGGATAACATAGGGTAAGAATAGTAAAGACGGGCTTCCTGGAAGAGGTGGGCCTGTGTAGGAGCAGGGGAGAAGCGAGAGGAGGGCTTCTCGGAGGAGGAAGGCCCATTCTAAGGCAGGAGCCCACTGGCCCTGTTTTCCCTGAGAGGAGTTGGGGTCCCTGTGCCGGCTGTGGTCCTGGACTCTAGAAGGGGGGCTGGACGGAGCTGGAGGGGGGAAGCCCAGCCTACTCGGGCTCTGGACTCTGCCCAGGAATTTGCACTAAAAAGAGAAGACAGGCCAAAGTGCAAGCAGGTTGAATTCATTCGGTCCCCGTGGAAACAACGCGCTTCTGTCCATCCCTGAGAGTAACTCGTTCACCACAAAGATGTGAGTAAGAAGGGGGTCCCGCCTCTCTCTGTGCAGTTGTGTGTGTGTGTGTGTGCACACAGGTAGCTAGGCATTCCTGGGCTCTGCCCGTGTGTATACTGCTACACGTCTCCTTGCTCCCATGTGCACACGTGTATCTGCTGCTGAACATGTGAGCTTAGCCAGGCCAAGTCTGGATAGAGTAGGGTGCTCCCCAAGGGAAAGAAGCAGAGAAGTAATAGGAGTGGGGAGAGATGGGGTCTTAGGGCTCTTATTCAGATGAGCTAGGCCTATGAACTTTAGCAAAAAAAGGACTATTGGTTCTCAGAATTGAAAAGTTCAGGGGCAGTGCTGGCTTCAGGTCTAGTTGGATCCAGGGACTGAAGAGTCTTTGGGATATTGTTTTTCCCTCTTTCAGAGTTGGGAAAGCTAGAGCCTCTTTTCAGAAAAATGCCTCTATGAGACACATACACATGCTGTACATAATTCCCTATCTTGCCCTCCCTCTGAGGTGGGTAGAATTTGCCCTGTTCCTGCTGGCCTCCCAGATTTGCAGGGACTTGCGTCCCACAAATTCAGGAGTGAGTGCAGGAAGTGGCACCTTCCTCCGTGGCCCCCAGGCACAAGGAGGGTTGAGTCCTGGAATGACGAAAGCTGCGCCAGTTTCTGCTCCCCGCTTCTAGCCCTCTCTGGGCCCCTCGCCTGGGTCCTGCCTCACCTTCTGCTTTCAGCTTTGGGCTCTGACTCTGTCTTTCAGCCGGAAGGTGCAGCACATGGAGGACGACGCACCCAGACGAAGAGAGTCCATCTCTCTCACATTTGTGGCCAATGGTCTGGAGAACAAGGGGGTTGAGCTCTTGGAAAGCCTGGTCAGTTCCCCATTTTGGCCCCCTGCGGGGAGGGCCCTTCGTTCACCATCTTCCTGCACCCTCCCTATCCCTTTGCTTGAAAAATTAGGAAACTCCCCAACATGTTGGCCTCCTCAATGCAGAGCAGCCCCTTTATTTCGCTCCTTAACCATGTGTTGGGCACCTATGATGAGCCACGATAGCCTCCCCTAGTCAGAAAGGCCGAGATCTGAAAAACAAGGAGAGAGGGAGTGATTGGCGGTGGATGGGGGTGGATCTCTGGGGAAGTCTCAGCCTTTAAGGAGCTGCCATCCTGTCCTTGCTCTGGGATGGCCAAGTAGACGCCCAGCAATCAGAACTTTGGAGCCTGATATGACATCGTTTGCCCTCCCAACCTCCCCTGACAAAGCCCCCTGCCCCTTCACCTCACTGCCCAACCCCAGGGTGTGCCTTTCACACTGTCATCTGCAAGAACAACCATCCCTCAGCCACTGAAACACAACTCCATGGACAGATGGAGGGCAAGTGGTGTCCTGGAGCCATACAATGATCTCCCCCAAGCAGTCACAGCGGAGGCTCAGTGTCTCTTCCACCCACAGACCATGAGCTCCCCGAGGGCAGGATGCGTCTAGCACTGAGTCCCGCACACAGTGGGCATTCCAGGTGTGCTTTGCAGAATGTAATTAAGTTGTCCTCTAGTTACTGCCTGTGCACACAGCTGGCAGCTGGGGTCTCTCTCCACTCACACTCTGGTCACTCTCTGGTGGCTTTAGGAGGAAGGCCGGATCCCTGGCCATGACTCAGGCCCCGAAGAGGGTGGGGACAGCCGGAACGAGGCCAGCCCAGAGCCCTTCTCCGGATGGTAGGTGGTCTCCAGCAGGGACGAGGGTTGGCCTGGGGAGGAGGCGACCATGGGGAGCAGGGACAGGGAACCGGGCCTCCTGACAAGGGGTAGGGGCCTCTCTTGTGGAAGAAAGGAGCAGATATGCTTTAGCCCACAAATGGGCACTGTTGGGTGCTACCCTGGGGCTGAGCCAGGCCAGGGGTTCCCACCTGCTCTGAAGTGGCCAAAACGAAATCCCTCAGGAACCTCAGTATTTACTGTGGGGCTGTTCTGACTGAACAAGCCTGACCCTCCCTCAACTTCCCCATCTGCCTTCTACCCCTTTCAGTCTCTGGGGGCACCCCAGGGAACCTCGAGGCTGAGTTTGAAAACCCCTGGACTGCGGTGGTCCCCTCATTTCCCACGGGAAGGCTGAAGCCCCAGAGGAAGAGAGGCCCTGGTCACACAGGCAGCAAGTATGAGCCTAGAACTCGGTCTCTCGACGGCTGGGCTCACCAGGGCCCCACTGGCCAGATCCTGAGCCGCGAGAGCATGAAGAGTAGGGCTGATGGAGGCGAGGGAGTCCATCTGTCTGCCTTGGGTGGGAGGTTGGGGAAGAATGCCTCCCATGGGAAGCAGGAGGGGGGACCTCGAGGGGAGGGGCGCCCTAAAACAGCCGGTGGCTGGATCTGTGCCCAGTGAGCACCTCCTATGAGCTGAGCCCATGGGGCCCCCAAGGCTGTCCTGGTGCCAGCTTTTCCTCCAGGGATAGGCACGTGGCCCGACGGCCGGGTGAGAAGTGGCATCTGCGCGGGGTGGGAAGGGGGGTGCTGCGGGCGTGGGGCAGGCTGTCCACAAGCCGGGAGGGGCTGCTGGCTCGGCGGGTGAGTCTCGCCCCGGGGAAGCATGCAGAGCTGGGAGCCTCTGCACCTGGCTCCGCAGACAGGTGGAGGTGGATGGGGGGGAGGCAGGGTTGGCGCTCTGTGCGGGCACAGGCTCCTCCTTATTGGCTCAATTAACTGCTTCCCAGGCCCGAGAACAGAAGTATCAGGAGGGCGGTGGTGCTTCTCCAGGCCTGGCGGGCCCGAGCCACTTAGCCTGCTCTGGCTTGGGGTTGCCCAGTCCTGTGGTGTCAGGGCCAGCGTCGGGCTTGCCCCATGTCTCCATTTTCCTGGGGATGCACCTGAATGGCTTCTACCTGACGTGCTGACAGTGGGAATCTGGGGCCACTCATGGACCAGGCTGGTACTCTCCGCAGGAGGAGCCTGCAGCCAGCCCTGAGGGCCACCAGACGCTTCTGCAGGGAGCACGCACAGCTGTTTCAATGGATCTGCACAGGCCTGCTCTCTACTGGTGAGCCAGGGGCCCAGCCCCACCTGGGAGACAGCTGTTCCCACCCCAGCGTGCCGCCCCCTCCCCCCAGCCACCTCCACCCCAGCCATCCGTGTCTCAGGGCATTCACATATCCAATGATTCAACAACCGACTCAGGGCCAGCTCCGTGCCAGAAGCTGGAACATTAGAATGAAGCCAGATAAGGTCTTATCCCCAAGACAGTCTCTGATCAGTAAGAGAGAGGAGACCTAGTATTCCCACATGATGCAGCCGGCCATCTAGGAACACCAAGGAAGGATGGGAGTGATCAGGGAGGACTTCCAGGAGGAGGTGACATTCAGGCCTCATAGGTCGAGCAGGAGCTAGCCAGGTAAAGCAGCACGACAATAAGGGGTGAGAAGGAACTCCATGCAGGAACCCCAGGAGTAAAGGTGAAGCTGGCATGGTGCAGATGTGAGCAGGCAGCTCAGGGATTGGAATTTTACCCTCAAAGCCGGAGAGAGCTATTGGAGGATTTAACAGGCAAGCGTTGGGGCTGAATGCACACTGTGGAAGCCTGGGGGCGGGGGGGCAGGCAGGATGACAAGGAGATGGTGAGGGTGGCAGTACACGTGTGAAGAGACAAAGTGTAGGGGATGGAAAGGCACAGATAGGAGAGACCTTCGGGAAACTTCTCCCACAAACTTGGGAGCCCAGTGAGTGTATAGGAGGAAGGACACCCTGGAATCTGGGGTGCCTCGGGGATCTGCTTAGGGTGCATGATGGGGCCTCCATGGCTAGGGAGCACAGGAGGAAGAGCCCTTGGGAGAGAGAGGGATGGCCAGTTGTTTGGGACAAGGTGGTGGAGGTACCACAGCCAGGCCGTTGAGGAGGGTTCCCAGGGACACCCCAAGAATGATTTGAGAAGTGGGTTCAGTGACAGCAGCCTGGGACCAGCTGCACAGAGGGTGCTGGCAGAGGAAGCCGCAGAGTGAACCCAAGGAGGCATGGAGATGGGGGGGTCGGGAGATTGGGGGAGCAGGGGGTTCAAGAGAGGTAATAGCATCTCTGCAGTGAGGGGAACCGTGGAACAGGGGATTTAGTGACAAACATCACTAGGGCCTGGGGGTGGGGGGCTGGATTGGACTGAATGGGAGGTGAGGCAGTATAGACAGCAAGTGTAGACAGCTCTTTGGAGGGATTTTTTATGAGGACAGGTGGGAATATTAACCAGGAGGGTGTGACAGTGTCAAGGAAGGGGTGTGCTGCTGACAGGAGCACTTGGGCCATGTTTGTGAGCTGGGGTAGGGCGTGGGGGTTACGGAAAGAAGGAGAGAGATGAGGAGGCAGAGGAGGCCAGAGAAAGGGGGGCAAAGGGCCAGGTGGAGGGGCGGGTCCTCTTGTCCTGCAGGTAGGAGAGGGAGGGATGAGGGGTGTGTGGCTGTGGCTGCAGAGCACCCTGCCCCACAGGGGGCGAGGCAGGGAGAGGACGGTGAGCGCCATGATGGCAATGGCCCCGGTCTCCATGTGGATAGTGAAAGAAGCGAGGTGGTCTGCTGAAATGGGCTGGTTCACGGCCCTCGGAGCTGCTTCCTTCTAGAGATGCCTGAGACACTGAAGTAGTCCTTTGGCAGGTTCTGAGCCCAGGCCTTCTCCGTGCCCCCATGCTTCCACCCTCACTCAGACCGATTTCTCCTGAAGAAGTGATTGAAGTAGGAGCACCTGGGCGGCTCAGTCTTGGTTTCAGCTCTGGTCATGATCTCAGGGTCGTGAGATTGAGCCCCGGTCCTACTCAGCACTCAATGCAGAGTCCACTTGAGATTCTCCCTCTGCCTCTGCCCATCTTGCCCACTTTCTCTCTCTCTCAAATAAATCTTAAAAACAAAAAGAAATGATTGCAATAGATCATGAAAATTACCTATCTCATCCTATCTCCAACTTTGTCATGGTGTAAATCATCCACGTAGTCAGTGAGTTATCCTTTATAATAGCCAATCTCCATTTTCTCCATGTTTGCATGATCTTGCTTTCCTTCAGCTCTTTTAAAAAATACATTATTTATTTGATAGCACAAGCAGGCAGAGGGAGAAGCAGGCTCCCTGCTCAACAGGGAGCCCAACATAGGGCTCGATCCCAGGATGGTAGGATCATGACCTGAGCCAAAGGCAGATGCTTAACTGACTGAGCCACCCAGGCACCCCTCCTTCAGCTCTTTACTAACTTTTCCTTTCATGTCTCCTATGGGGAGACCCCTCATGTGCTTCTGGGAGTAGGCACAGTAGAGAAATAAAGCCCACATTCTCAGCACTTTGTGCCTGAGCTGTAGCAATGGTGTCCTCACCTTACTTGGCCTTTCTCCGAGGGTGCAAAGATCACCCTGGTCACTGACCAGCAGAGGGCCTTGGTGTCCCCAGTCTCAGAAGAAGACCCATATTTCTGGCCAAGTTGCGGGAGGTCTTTGATTGGGTCATGTGCCTATCACTGCTAAAGTGGGCCGGATACTGCAGGACCATATGGGTTGAGAGTGGCAGGTGCCCAAAAGGAAAAGACAAGTCCGGTCACCAGAGGGGTGGACAGATCCTCAAAGAACACAAATCATTCCCAAGACACGTTTCTCCATGCCCCGTCTGGGGGACGTGTCCACACTGCCTCCTCTCCTGCACCGTATGCCAGTACCTCCTGAGTCACGGCCCCGGGAGAGACAGATGTGGGTAGGGATTTTAGCTCAATTTCCTCCCCTTGTGAGTCATCATGCTTCGCTGGCCTCAGGTGCCTCATCTCTAGATGGGGATCAGCACAGACCCAGCTGTGGGTGGTCCGAGCAATAACCCCGCCGGGGCTGAGAGGTGCTGAGCACAGCTCCCCTCCCGCACAGCACCCCTCCCGCACCCTGTGCCTGTGTCATGGTCCCTGCCCTGCAGAGCCACCCTGCATGCCTCTGGGACGCCAGCCCTGAGACTTATGTGGGAGAGAAAGGTAGCTTGATTTCATATAACTCCACTCATATCCTTTTTCAATTTCATCAGCCCAAGAGTGATAGAGACTGAGTTTCTGTCAATAGAGAACATCCCATTACCCTTTTTCCCAGTGTCCCCAAGGGGGCGTGTCCACTCCCCATTCTCAGCAGTGTACCCACCTGCCCGCTTCTGCGGGTGCCCCCGTTCTCCATCCTGGCAGGTCACCATGGAGGCCCCTCATTCTGCTCTCCTTCCCCCATCCTCTTCCCAGATACTCACAGAGATCACTCCTGTCACCTCGGTGCCTGCTTTGGTGTGTAGAACCTCAGAAACTTCCTGTGGCTCTGACTGCCCAAAGTGCCCGGGTGCTCCTGTCTTTGAAATCTTGCTGCCTCCCGGGGCCAGGCTCCTCTGTTCCCAGGAACCCATCCGTGTCTTTCAGCTAGTCTGTCCTCCAGTTAGTCTGTCCTTTAACTAGTCTGTCCTCCAATGAGTATCCTCTAACTAGTCTGACAGCAGAGGGGTAGGGTAGGACTTTCACTTGTTCAGTGTCACAGCCCACATTTTTACCCAGTGGAAAAGCTGTAAGTCATTTCCATCCTTCAAGGGCCCTGGCTTCTGAAGTTCACAAGGCAGGGAGAGACATTTCCCCCTCTGCTATCCACGGTCATCTTCCTTTCTTGAGGCAGAACACAGATTGGCTCAGCTGCTCGAAGAGGAGAGGAGGAGGCGGGGAGAAAGATTCTAGGGAGAGAATGGTCCGTATTTTCAGAGTAGGATCCTGCACACAAGAGTGAACTCCTCCCTGGAGTGACTGATCTGTCCACCTCCACCCGCCATGGAACCTTGTGCCGTCTGGGACATAGCAGGCCCTGTGCTGATGCTCAGAGACTCCTGTTGTCTGGCCCCCTCCTCCACACCCTCATCCCTCACAGCTGGTCAGTGCATCCACGATGTGCAAAGCCCCTCCGCACACCTTCCTTGTTACGCCAGAACCACCCTCCAGCACAGTAGGGATGACTGTCCCCAGCTCCAGAGGAAGAAGTTGAGGCTCAGAGAGGTTGAGTAACAGTCCTATCCTCTGTGCTTTGGATGGGACAAGGTGGAGCTGGAGGCCAGGGAGGCAGGCCCCTGTCATTGTCAGTGATCCCTTTCCTGTGTTTCATTCCCACCCACTCCCAGCGTTCGCTGCCTTCCTGCTGACTGCTGGCCTCCTGGATTTCCAGAGGGCCCTGGCGCTCTTTGTCCTTACCTGTGTGGTCCTTACCTTCCTGGCCCATAGCCTGCTGAAGAGGCTGCTAGGGCCCCGACTGCTGAGGTGTGTCAAGCCCCTGCGGCACTGCCGCCTGAGCTTCTGGGTTGAGAGGTGAGTGAACTTATAGCCCCAGGCAGGGTGGGGAGGCCATCGGCGGAGGCCTCTGAGTCAGCTCCAGGGTCACCACCAGGCCTGGGTGAGGAAGGCCTCTGTCCCTGTCCCACCAGGGGGTTCCTGGGCTGTGGGACCCACTCCCCTCTGCTTGCCTCTCAGGAACCCCGGGGCAGGTGGCTTGGATGGCCGCAGCTATCTCTGGTTCTCTGCCCCAGTGATAGGAGGTGTCTATGATCTGAGAACAGGACTCCACAGTTTCCTGAGCTCAGAGGTTCCAGCCCATTCAGACAGGGAGGACCTGTGTCAGTGCCTCTTATCAGATCACCTGGGGTATGACAGACAGACAGTTACAGGGGACAGACCACCCCTGCACTCAGTCAGCAGGCCACATTGGGGGCCAGGTGTCCATGCATTTAGGTAGCCCCTAGGGGATTCTCGTGCAGCCAGCCGTGTTCCTGGACAACAGTTTGTGATTCCCTGGTTTTCAAACTGGCTTCCTTAGAGGTCTGGAAACCTTGGAGGTGCCATAGGGCAGGAGAGAGGGATTGGAGGGGGAGCATCAGAAACCCTGCCCCAAATCTCCATTTCAACCAGGAAGCTCTATTGAATCTGTTTTATAAACTGAGGTTTGCAAAAAATTAAAATGAAAATAAACAATTAACTGAGGAAAAAAAAAGTTTCTGTGCCTTAAAAAAGTTCTGAAGACCCCCAGTCTATTTTAGGACTCCGTTTTGTTGATAAAGAAACTGATGCTCAAGGATATCCAGTGACTGAGCTAGGGAGGTACTACAGCAAAATGATTTGAGCAGGCCTATGTGTGAGCACGTTGTTTTCATTTTATTTATAAATAAATATATAATGAATAATTATTCATAATTATAATTTATAATTTTAAATACATTGAATAAAAAATTTAAAAAAAATTATATAAACTTTGAGTAAGATTTAAAAATTTATAATTTTTTTGAAAGGCAGGGCCTTTTTTTTAAGATTTTATTTATTTATTCATGAGAGACACAGAGAGAGGGAGAGAGAGGCAGAGACATAGTCAGAGGGAGAAGCAGGCTTCATGTAGGGAGCCCGAAGTGGGACTCAATCCCAGGTCTTCAGGATCACACCCTGGGCTGAAGTCATCGCTAAACTGCTGGGCCACTGGGGCTGCCCAAAAATTTATAATTTGTAATTAAATTTATAAATAGTTTTTTTTTGCAGCTAGACTTTTATTAAACTAGCACAGTATTAAGTAGATTAGTAGTCTAAGTAGATTGTGATATGATAAAATGCACGTTGTAATCCCTGGAGCAGCTAAGAAACTAAAAAAAAAAAAAAACCCACAAAAGTGTGTCACTTAAATAGTAGAAAAAGAATTAAATAGATTTGTAAAAGGATTTATTTTTACAATAATCTATTTGTGACAAATCATTGATACTGGCTTTCCTTTGAGGTATTGATACAAAGTTTCCTTTAAAAAATATATGCAGATTAATTAGACTTTATGAAAAGCAAACTTTTTGATTCAAAGGACACCATCAAGAAAGTAAAAAGAAAACCCACAGAATGGGAGAAAATATTTATTTATTTTGATGAAGGACTTGCTTCTAGAATTACAACTTAACAATTAAAAGACAACTTAATTGAAGAATGGGAAAAGGGTTTGAATAGACATTTCTCCAAAGATATATGAATAGCCAGTAAGTACATGAAAACATGCTTAACATCATTAGCATCATAAAAATGCAAATCGAAACCACATGAGATACTACTTCACATTTACAGGGATAATAGCAAAAAAGATAGATGATAACAAGACTTGGCTCAGATGTGGAAGACTTGAAGCGCTCATCCACTGTGGGTAGAAATGTGCAATGGTGCAGTTGCTTTAGAAAAGTTAGTTCCGGGGGGCCTAGGTAGCTCAGTTACATGGCTGCCTTCAGCTCAGGTCATGATCCTGGGGTCCTGAGATTGAGCTCCACATCAGGCTTCCTGCTCAGCAGAGAGTCTTCTTCTCCCTCTCCCCTTTCCCTCTCACCCCCCTTGTGTTCTCTTTCTCTCTCATAAGTCTTTAAAAAGAAAACAGTTCCTCAAAATACTATACATGGAGTTACTACATAGTAACTGGTGTTACCATACATAGCAATTCCACTCTGAAGTGTATATACTTAAGAGAAAGGAAAACATATGTCCATTCAAAAACTTGTACACAAATGTTCATAGTAACATTATTTATAATAGCCAAAAAGTGGAAACAACCCAAGTGTCCATGAACTGATAAGAGAATAACTCAAATATGTATATCCATATAATGGGATCCTATTTGGCCACAAAAAGGAAAGCTACATATTAGAATAATAACAAAGCTTGAAAACATTATGCTTTTTTGTACATAGCTATTACATGTAGGGCAATCTGTCTTTAGGGAGGGATAAATTACTCTAAAATAAATGAATCCTAGATAGTTTTCCCTTCAAGTCAAGTGTCTTGTTGTTTAAATAAACTTCTTGTTTAAAATGAAAAAAAAAAGAAAACATTATGCTAAGTGAAAGAAACTAGCCACAAGGAACCATTTATATGAAATGTCCAAATTGGCAAATCTATAGAGACAGTAGATTAGTGATTAACTAAGATTGAGGGGAGAAGATGGCAGGACTGGGGGTGATGGCTAGATGTGCTAGGTTATTCTTTGGACTGGCAAGATATTCTAAAATTGATTATAGTGATGGTCACACACATCTGTGAATATACTGAGGATCATTACACTGTATACTTTAAATGGGCAAATGTATGGTAGTGAATTTTGTCTTGATTTAAAAAATACATTATTTGATATTGGCTTCCAATCAAGATGGGGTAACAGAGACCACCTGAAACAACTAAAGAACTGGAATAAATTTTTGAAACAATAGCTCTTAAAATATTTGACATCAGGTACCAGAAGACAGTGATCCTGGAGAAACAGGAAACAAAGGAGATGAGCCCTATGGTTGCCATCCCCCATACCACATTGAGAGAGTTTCCAGGCTGCAGTGCAGGCGAAGGGAGCCAACGTGGGCCAGTGGATTTCCTAGCTTGAGAATATAGAGCTGGAAAGCAGGGAGGCCAAAGTGGTGAGCGTTCACAATGCAGAGTATGAGAGAAAATGTTGGCAGAGAGAGAAAACTCCAGAAATTCACAGAGGGTCCTCTTTCACTATGTAATTGAGTTTTGATCAGTGAATGTAAATGAGAAAACCATCCAAAGCATAGGAAAGACCCGTCTGAAAGGATTAGAGGGAACGGTGCCTGGAAACTACACGGGACCAGAAATAGTGTTTATTCTCAATAGAGTGGAAACTTCATAACTTCACAGGGCATTATTTAGAGTACTAAAGATCTTGGGTCAATAGTAGAGAAAAACTAACCATAGAATAAAACCTCCTCAGACTCTGCATAGCAAATCTTGAAAAAAAAAAACTTGAGTCAAACAAAATGTCAATTAATCATGGCCAAACTTTAAGTTGGTATATGTACCTGAAGTCTCCAGAGGAGAAAGAGGGAAGAAAAAAATACTTGAAGAACTTATGTCCAAAAAACAAATTTGTTGCAAATTATAAATCCAAAGAAACTCCACAGACCTCCAGTACAAGAAACAAGAAGAAAACCACACCAAAACACATCATAACCAAATTGCTTAAAACTGGTGATAAAACAGAAAATTCTAAAAACAACTAGAGAAGAAAACCTATGCAGAGGAACAAAGATACAGATGACAGCAGATTTCTTCTTAAAAACAATACAAATGAAAAGGCAATGGAACAATAAAAACAAAAGTGTGTAAATCTAGAGTTCTTTACCAGTGAAACATCCTTCCAAAAAGGTGAAACAGGACTATTTTAGATATACAAAAGCTGGAAGAAGTTTTCAGACATAAAAAGCAGACCTGCACTACAAGAAATGTTGAAGGAAATTCTTCAACCAGAAGAAAACTGATATGAGGGGGAAATCTAGATCTATACAAAAGAGTAAAGGGCATTGAATGGGTAAATATAATGACTATTTTCATTTAAATATCTTTCAAAGGTAATCCATATATAAAGCAAGAATAACATTATATTGTGGAATTTATATGTAGAAGTGAAGAACAAGAGTTGGGAGGGAAGAAATGAAATTATATTGCTGTAAAGTTTTTATACTGAGCATGAAGTAGTATAATATGACTTAAAGGTAGATTGTGATAAGTTAAAGATGTATATTATAAATGCTAAAGCAACTACTAAAATAACATGAAAGGGTGTTGTAGCTAACAAGTTTAAAAAAAGGTAAGAGAGATAAAGGAGAATCATTTTTAAATAGTCTGAAAGAAGGTAGAAAAATAGGAAAAGAGGAATGAAGAACAGATGGGACAAATAGAAAATAAATAGCAAGATGGTAGACACAACCTTCCTCCAGAACCAATAATCACATTAAGTGTACAGACCAGTATCTTTCATGAATAAAGATGTAAAAATTATTAACAAAATGTTAGAAAACCAAGTGCAATAGTATACAAAAGGAAGGGGGGAGGGGCAAGATGGCGGAAGAGCAGGGTCCCCAAATCACCTGTCCCCACCAAATTACCTAGATAACCTTCAAACCATCCTGAAAATTTACGAATTCGGCCTGAGATGTAAAGAGAGAACAGCTGGAATGCTACAGTGAGAAAAGTCCGCGCTTCTATCAAGGTAGGAAGACGGGGAAAAAGAAATAAAGAACAAAAGGCCTCCGAGGGGGAGGGGCCCGCGAGGAGCCGGGCTGAGGCCGGGGCGAGTGTCCCCAGGACAGGAGAGCCCCGTCCCGGAGGAGCAGGAGCTGCACCAACCTTCCCGGGCGGGCGGAAAGGGGCTCGCAGGGAGTTGGAGCAGGACCCAGGAGAGCGGGGATGCCCTCGGGCTCCCGGGGACACTAACAGACACCTGCGAGCGCAGGGGAGTGCTCCGAGCTCCCTAAGGGCTGCAGCGCGCACCGGAGCAGCTCGGAGGGGCT